ATCCCCCTCCTATGACCTAGGTAGTAAACCCTAACAAAAGACTACATCAAATCATGAAAATCTCTGTAAGCCAGCGAGGGTATTAAGTGGTTCCAACATTCCATCCAAAACAGAGTATATCAAAAAACGAAAAACAAAATCCCACCCCCCGAAATATAATTCCTAAACATAATCAATCCTCTCATAAAAAGTCCAAGCAAGGGACCAATCCGCCGTAGTAATGTTGAGAACATCAACTGACTAGCTAATAACGAAAGAAAACCTCAACCTCCTCCAACTCCTGAATCACGAACAACTCCCGACAACGCTCAAGAATCTCCCAATAATGAGTACATGAACAAAATCCGACTACATATAAAGACTCCCAACATGGGATTAAGAGGTATATTAAAGGAACCTAAGTATAAAATCGAAACCAACAACACCAGCTAACAACATTAAGACCAACAGGGGCCAGTAAAACAAAAAGCATAAAATGAGCTAAAACAATCACCAACTACGCAATCTCCTGAAATCTAAAAAAAACAAAAAGAGAAACAAAACAAAAAGCAAATAATATATGATCCACACGCCGAAACTCATAGAATAGTCTGGCAAAGGAAAGGAGAATTTCAAACCGAATAAGCCCAATGGGAAAACCATGATGCAGTAGAACATTATGAAACTGACAAACTCCAAACCCCGACTAAATGTATAAGCACTCATAAGAATCAACAGAAGAAGTTGTCTTAAAAACGGAGAAAGTAGCAATTTCCTTCTAACAAGTACCTATATGCCGTGTGAGCATACACAAAAATGGCCACCTAAACGATCAGAGTCTGATGAACCTTCTCCCACCGCCACGACCAACCAAAGGGCAACTACACCAGAAACTCCGAATAACTAAAATCAACACACAGAAGAGAAATTCAAGGAAAAAGGAGTCAACCAAAATCTCTTCATATAATAACCAGGAGAAAACTAGACATATCATCACCCAGGAAACGTCACCAAACGACAGAGGAAAATCCAAAATGAGCCCTGCCTACGACTCAAGAAACCCAAGACACTGAATTAAGTTAAGATGCCGAACCTCAAGGTCTAGTATTAAGAGTATATCACAAAGGAGAAATCTGCATCCCATCTCAGGATACCTGTCCTGCCCTAACCGAACTGCAGAACCAAGAACTGAATACTCCCTACACAAATCCGAGCAGCGACAGAAACTAAAACAGCCCAACCCCACATACCTCAGAGGTCCATATGCCAATAAAATCAAAGAGTAGATCTCATTACGATATTAAAGGACTTCAAGGCCAAAAAGATCCAAGTAGATTAAGCCTCTCATCAAATTCAAAAACTCTGGGGAAAAAACTGTCCTGAGCACTAAATCTCCTCCAAGCCAGAAATCCAGGAAACACCGTGAACATCAACTATACAAACGACAAAAGGAAAGAAATCTGGAGATCCAAGACCCAAAAAACAACCAAAAACAGAATCATACCACAAAAACTAAGCCCCTCCTAAAACCCCCCAGATGCCACATAACCGACAGGTACCAAACCGCCGAGAGCAACAAACCTGAAGAAATCCAACCCACATGAACACTCAGCCACATCCCAAACCCACACCCAATTCGACAAAAAAATTCACAACTATGACTGAGAAAAAACATCCCATACTAAAGATTAACGGATCTAAGAGCAATTTATTATAGTTCTATGAGGTCTTTCACGAGTAATAAGTCCTAAGAATATGAGCAAATAATCTAGACAAGAACCCACAGAACTATCCCCTCAAATTCCCGTAAGACAAGGAAAAGTCAAACTCAAGAAGTAGAGGAGACAGAAAGAGGAAACCAGATATAATGAATACTGAATCAATAGAGGTTACAGACCCAGAAGCAACAAGTCAGACTCAGCACCAGGAAATATCATTCAAAAGAAACTGAAACCCAATAACGGATAACGGAGGAAACCACGGATCCGAACACAAAATAAAACCCCCAACGCAAAAGGGAAGCAGAAGATCCGTCCCACAGGACGAGTCATTTAATCTACGATGATCTCTCCAGTAAAAGATATTATATAGGCACCCAGGAACAAACTGACTAAATCAATTAATACTCTCCGATGATAAAGACTACGCTACAAATCACATAAGGCGAAATCAAAGGAGTCATAAGCGAGATATCCTGGGCCCGACTAGGCGAGAAGGACGAGATCGGCGAAAGAGACTCCAAGAATAGAGGCAGCATCCAAACGAGTCAATCACCCCGAAGACAAACCTCAAGTCCCACAAAAAAATAGCACGGATCAGATAATAATCAAGGAAAATGAACCAAGCCTGAAACGATCGACAAGGAAACTCCTAATCCCAAGTCCAATCCCCGAAGCGCAATGGAGAGCTTAAAAAAGTCCAAAACACTAAAGAGAAACGGCTGAACAAAAATTCTATTAGGAAAAAATCCAATTCTAAATATGGGCGACCTCTATGGAAAAGGAGCCCGAAAACTCAATATTAGATCAGGAACCGTCTAAGTTGAAAAGCCACAAGTCACCCCCCCCTGTCCGACATGAATAGGCCAATGCCACTGAACACCAGTAGCAGGACCTGACCCATACATCAGAAAACGAAGACACCGAAGACAAAAAGAGGATCCGCCCGCCCTTTCCAAACACAATGTCAATCTCCAAGGAGAAGAGTCAGGGGCCCCCTAAGACAAAGAAAAACACCGCAGGAAGAGAAGACAGTGAATCCGAAGCTCAAACAACAGAGAAGTCAGCAGCAACTTCCTCATCAAGTCATAATCATAGAAGGTGAACATCATCTCCTCCAAGCGGGACGAACCAGGGATGAGCAGGAGGAGTATCAGATAAAGGCAAAACAACGAGGCCAATAAAGAAAGGCACAATCAGCCCAAATAATCAGCGAACTTCGCACAGCAGGGTACAGTAGTCAGGAACAGGGGAAACTGTGGAAACCTGAGTTGCAATAGAAGTCACCAGCAACTCTATTGAGGGAAAGAGAACACGGGCTAAAGAGCAAACTCTGGAAGATCCCTCCCAACTGTCGGAATGGTATAGAGACTTAAAAGTCTATCATGGGGAAGGACGCATCCAGAGGAGCAGCGGAGGGAGACTCCTCACGGGGCGACTCCAGGAGGGAGACTGAAGAAAGAGAATCAACAGATAAAATAGGAAGGGGACAAAGACAACAAACTATAGTTGCCTGAGTTACAGGGTAAAATAGGAGATGACTCAACGAATAGAGTCCGTTACCAGAGGCACATCACCGACCCAGATATCTCAAGATAGCTGCAAGAAGGGACAACATGAGTGAGAGACAGAGGCACAAAAGTGAGAATAGATCAGGAGGGAGCGCCCGGAGTCCGGGTTAAGTCCTTGAACGCGAGGGAAGTCATCTGAAAGCCTCAGAGATGATCTTCATAATAGGGGGAAAGGGGCTAAGCAGAATGGCCAACAGAGGGAATTCCACACTTCGGAAAGAAGTCTAGGAACCTCGAGCGGCAGGGTGCGACAAATTAAGAATGAGGACCTCCGAGCATAGAAATCTAGGATCAATAGAGTAGAAATAAGCAATTGTGGTCAGCGACATACAGCTCATAGGGTAGTTCTCTTAAAATTTGAATGGTCTCGGTCCCCCAGAGGGAGGAACAGTACAACAGGAGTCCACGTCCGCGTCTCCAGGACAAATGTCAAAGGCAAAGAAAGAGATAATGTCAAGATTAAGGAAAGCCCCGGGAGCGGAAACTTTAGAAGGAAGGAGGGAGTAGAGCCCAAGGCAGCGGAGGAATGGGAGTTTTCCTAAGCTTCAGAGGAGGCAATCAATAACACCGTCACTTCTGTAGGATGATAGGGCTAATCAAGGAAGTAGCGAGTGAATCGCAACAGCTCCCCCCCAAGAGGGAAGAGAATACTCAACTAAAAAATCAGATTCCAGCCGAAACAAGGGCAAGGACTATTGAAAAAGGAGTCCTAGGTTGGGGGGGGGAGGCTCTTCCACCAAGCTGGAAGAGTAGTCAGACTCGAGGCGGAGCATTCCCGAAACTCCAGATGCCGAATGAGAAATAGAGGAGCCCCGAGGCAGAAGCTTGGAGTGGAGAGATGGGAAGGGAAATCAAGAGAAGAAGAAGATAAGGAGAGAATAGACCTGTGGTAAGGGTCATGCCCAGGGAGGAGAGACGCAGTGGATGAAGGGGAATAGGGAAGGCCACTTCCTAGGAGGAAGAAGAAGGAGAAGGCAGGAAAGAACATCCCGAATGGGCAAAAAGTCCAAGAGCGGCATCGAAGTACAGCCGCAGGGACAAGCAAAAGGATATAGACTTCCCGACCCCCGGAGTCAGAACACGATGACATTGCCCGGACGAAATCACCATCAGAGGAAGCTATATGTCGGATGACTCCCACCTGGCCATAAGAACAAGGGGAACCCAGGAGAGGAAGGATCAGTAAGAGCCTCATCGGATGAGTACGAATCCGGAATGGTCCAAGGAAAATAAGGGAGACCTCTGTTCTTCTCCTAGAATAGGACGTAGGGGAAGAGTTTGTGAGACGTATCCAACAACAGAAGGGAGGGAAAAGAGAGACATGGGATAAAGGATAGCCGCGACCCTAAGGATGAGCCGGCCAGGTCACCCCAGCAGGACGAAGTCCCGAGTCCTCAGGACTGAGGGGAATTCCGAGACGGGACAGTATGAACAGCAGAAGGAATCTCCAAGGAGAAATCCGTTAAAGATCACAAGTCCCTAGTCAGAGAGGGAACTGACCGGGCGATTCTGCGTAATTAGGCTCACTCAGTCAGAAACACGACATCGGGCGCTCCAAAGGATATCTAGGATTTCGAGGAAGAAGGAGAAAGCAAGAGGATCCTAAGTGAAGGATCTAAGGAGTATAATTGAGGACTAGGGAAGGAAAAAGGCCCGATAGAGGCAGGAAACGTCTAGCCGACTCCGAACCTTTGCAGAAATCAAAATAGAGTGACCCCGAAGTCCGATGAAGATGGCAAGCTTCACGAAGTGGATACAAGGAAATCTGGAAGAAGGAGCGAAAAGGCATTGCAAGGGACTCCAAGGCGGAAAAGAGTCCGAGATGACAGTCTGTGGATTAGTAGAGGGCAGGTTAAAGGAGGGACAGAGTTCAGTCTCAGGGAGATGGATGTCCATATTAGCAAAAAACAACTCGAAACCCCCAAATCTAGCGACAGCTGCCAGCATCATATGCAGAGACATAGAGAAGTGGACAGCAAGTCTAATCCCTGAAGAAGCAAACGACGTCTGGAGTAAGAGTGGATGTTCAATCGAGACTCTGGGGGTGCGGGGAAGGATAACAGAGAAGAAAACTTGTCAGTGGGACAATGATAAAGTGATATGGCCGCAGATATCATTATCGGCGGAGTTAGATTCCCACAGAACCAACAACAGGTCTTTAATGATTTGCATGGATATGGTATCAATAATTTTGACAATATTCAGGAATCTGGATATAAAGGATCACGGGATAACGTACAGAGACAAGGATGTATGTCAGTCCCTCTATGAGGAGTTTAAGGACTGGGGTGGGGAGGAAGTGGCAGAGGAAGTCATGAGCTTTTGGTTCCCACTAAACACAAGGGGAGTAAAAATCGGCGGCAGAGAGTATAAGAATCCAAAGCGGCTGGGGGGAACATGGAAAGAAGCATTCTATTTGTATGGAAACCCAATAACGGGAGTGCAGTGTTCGAGAGCACGCGACGGAGTGCCAAAAAAGTACATGACGAGTTGTTATTGGAAATCACAAGGAGACAACTGTGAATCAGGGAACGATACCACATGGGTAAGTGTGTAAGAGGTGCTGGGGATTCTAATCCGCCAACGTGAGCATTAATATGGAGTTCAAACGAAAAAGAAAACAAGTCTCCAAGCCATAAAGAGGACAGATAAGTGGGCAAAGTGAGGTTCAGCCGGTGACTGGACGCGGGGCCAAGACACAAAGAGTGAGCAGGTATAATGGCGAAGGACTAAAGAAGAACAGGACGGGAGTATGAGAACCTAGGATGGAAGTCGGGGGGGAAGTCTTCCAACAGAAGAGGGATTCAAGTATCGTGAGGAGGCTGAAGGAAAGGGAGGGCTAAGAGAAACAACTGTGAGAGAAGGAGATATAGCTTCCCCAACATATGGGAGGGCCACCACCAGCCGCATAAGACTATCGAGTGAATAATTCTAAAATTTCTCAGGTAGAGCCACAGGTGAAAACGGAAGAAGAACGCAAAGCCCAGGAGAGCAGCATTCTTAACAGCGAAGCCGATCCAGTATTGCAGAAGTGGAAGGAACTAACAGCCCTAGAGGATGAATCAGGCCAGACAAGGAAAACGTCAACTGGGGGCAAAATAGCGGGGGGTATAGTGACCAGTTTGTTTCTACCGTTAGCATGGTATGTGTGGAGGAGAGTATATGGCTCTCCAAGTCCAAAGAAAAGGTTAAGGTATCATATTGGTTCTAGGTGAAGAAGAAAGGGACTTCATATTGCGACCAAGCAGAATCAGCCAAAGTCTAGGGATCATCGTAAGGGGCCCGGAATCCCCTATCAGAGAAGGCTCCAGTGAACAAGGGGGATTTCAAGAGAGTAAGTCTCAGCGAGTTTATATTACTGTTGGGGCAAGGGATGGGTCCTAAAGGAATAAGTAGCAATAAAGGAACCTGGAGGACACTGGAAGAGTCTCATGTTGTAGGTGTTTTCCACAAGACACAAGGGAAGGGAGAACTAGGCCCAGACCTGAAGGACCAGATCAGGAACAACAACCACCCAAAGGGCCCAGAAGAGCATGTATGGACGTAAGGAGTCTCAGAAGGGAGGCGTGGCGATAACTCTAAGCGCGGCGTGAGATTCACCAAACAGGACACAAGGCAGCGAGAAGGAACGGGATTGGGTCAAGGAGTTGCAGGGGCTCTTTAGGTGACGACGGGGGCACCGGGCAGGGACGACACCCCCGTTGCGGCCTCATTTCGGGGATGGTGAGGGGTTATTTGAGTGGTAGGATTTATGAGGAGTGGTTGGGGTTTGTGGTTGCCTTTCTTTGTGATACGTTTCAGGGAATGGCTTTAAGTGTTGAGGGTTTCGGGATTAGTGGTTTAGGGCCGAGGGTGTCGATTTTGGGGTTTAGGGTTCGAGGACGAGCTTTATGGTTTGAGGTTTAGGTTTATGCTTCCGGAGTCAGGGTTTAGGGTTTAGGGTTCAAGGGGTAGGGGTATCGTTTCAGGGTCCAAGGTTTAGGCTTCAGGAGGAATTTTGTAGCTTTACGTTTAAGGTTTTAGGGTTGAGTTTTTATGTTTAGGGTTAAGGGTTTAGGGTTCAGGTTTTACGGTTCGGGGTCCAGCGATTAGGGGTTCTGGCTTAACGTGTAGGGTTTATGGCTTAGGGTTTAACGTTGAGCTTTCAGGCGTATGGATTCTTGGGGTTCAATGGTTAGGGTTCAGGGATGAGGCTTTAGATGTAGATTTTCAGGGTGTAAGGTTTATTTCTAGGGTTCAGGGTTTAGTGTTCACTGTTTAGTTCTATTACTCAGGGTTTTTTTTTAGGGTTTAGGTTTCATGGGTTAGGGCTTAGGGGTCAGGTTTTAGGCGTCCAAGGGTCAGCGTTTATGGTTTAGGGATTAGGACTCCGATTTTATTACTTAGTGCTTCAGGATTCACGTTTAGGTTTGAGGGGTTGAGCTCTTTGGGTTCATGATTTAGGGGTCTAGTTTCCTGGTATGACGCTTCAGGGTCTAGGTTGAGATTTTAGATGCTATGGTCTCCGGCTTCACGGTTTAGGGTCTAGATTTAGTTTTTTCCCCTATTGGTCAGGGCTTCCGGTTCAGCTCCAGATTTCACGCTTTTATTGTGAGTGCCTTTGATTTCGGGTCCAGGGCTTACGGTTCAGGCTCTACTGTTTATCACTCGCGATTTATACTAAGGCTACATATTTGAATATGTAGAGTGATTCCTGCTTCGATTTAGGAATCTTATTTCCATAATTAAATAACGATATAAGACCGTTATTATCTTAGAGATTCTTAATTTATGGCTTATTAAAATTATCTTCTATAGGAATACTTCTCTGGAGTAATTCTGGAAGGTCACGGAACTAGGGAATCTATTACCTCTAACGAATCTGAGCATGCCCCTTTCTCATTGGTATCTGATGTTTTTAGGGTTCTGAAAATTTTTACCAGGGAGTAACAAGTTTAGTCGTAAGAATATCAGTTTCTGACAAAAATAAACACATTGGCTTCTTCATCTTACTTATGTCATATTTCCATTTTACACAAGGAGTATACCTCATATTATCTAAAACGTGTATGTAACTTGAACGGCAGTTCAATCTAGTCAAAATTTCAGAAAGGAACTAAGCACCGACGAAGAAATTCGTGGATATTTTTTCTAGAGCCAGTTCCTGTACCAGAAATTAAATGAGGACTATCTGTAAATACGTAATTTTTAGAAGAATTAATAATATAACATAGTATAGTAAAAATTATAGCAGAACTAAATTGTAAATTTATCGGTACTGTGAAAAAGGAAAATATATGGTACCGCATCTATCTCTCATAGGGAGATGTCCAAATCGATTTTTGAATTTAAGCGTCACTTGTAAAAAGTGACCACTGTCTGTAGGAGTCAATCATCTTAAAAAATGAGATAGATACAGTTCATACTTCACGCTAGAATTTCAAGCTTCCGTATGCTCATACCATTCTATATTCTTCTAGGACACGTATAATTCACAAAAATGAATTGACGGTATGCTAATTAATAGGTATAAGCAGGAGAAACGAAGGAATAAAAAGTGAACCGTGGTAAAGGTCCCCTCTTCACATCAATAAATAATGATATGCCACCGAAATAATGTAGAATATTCACAGATAGACATCTATAGATATATGTAGAACCGGAGCGGAACACAATTATCATTAGCCGGGGATCAGGAAAATTAAGTACTCAATAGGGAAGTACACAATGGGGGTAGCTTCCCTAACACGGAAATTCCAGAGACAAATGAATTTTTAAATTACTAAACACTACGGCGCTCTTTGTCCACGTTAGTGAAGGAGGTACATCTTAAGAAGCTCTTCCAATTCCTTGATGCACTATGCATTAAATTGATACGGTAAGAATAATATTTAGAAGGAGAAGATGACAAAGAAGAAGAAGAAGGATGAGACAAGGCTAAGCCCCGGAAGGATGTAACTTTGGCCGGTTGGCATACTTCAGGTGGTTCCCGCTTCACCGTGTCGCGCGCCTCGCCCCCCGATTTAGTTGCTCGCGAGGCACGTTTCCACCTGGTTCAAGTGTGAAGCGTAACTGTGTCTGATTCCGCTGGGCAGAAGTCGAGACACTTCTCAAGAGTACCACCTGGATAGGCTAAACACCTCAGACCACATTCCGACAGAGCTGTCTAGCACTATGTTTGAGATAAGCTTCTGAAATTCGGGTGCGACGATGAAACAGAAGGCGCTGGGGCAGTACCGGCTCAGTTCCTTGCCCAGGGGGGCCAAAATAATTTCTGGGATGTTCATCTGTGGCTGTGAGTAAAAGAGCTTGTCCGCTTATTTGGGGGCAGTCAGACCAGTGGCTGAAACAGAGGTTTGATTGATGTTAACCCCTCCATTGGCGACATGCCCAGGGCCTTCTGCTACGCTGCCAGCACATAGACGAGACAGCTCCTCCACATAAGTGCCATACTCGTTCCGATCGACTATCCCAATGTTCACCGAATTCACCACGAAGTTCAAGCTTATGTTGTTGTGAATAAAGTTAAGAATGATCGAATTGATAATGCTTACCAGAACGTAAGTGCATTCACGTAAAATCTCGATTCGGACATGAAATTGCTGAAATTTGTACATACCTTGGTCAATTATCTGTTCGAAGTTCCTTACGATTATCTGGTCCATGGTCTTTTCTCGATCGTCTCGAAACCCTTGTGTGTATTCTATCCGTATGTTGAACTGAGGTGATTCGATTCCCCCACTGAACATTTGTGTCTTTGGCTGTGGGCCGAGGAGGGGGTACGACACTGTCTGTGCCATTCCTCCGGAGAGTCTTATCTGCTAGGATTTGTTCCGAGGTGGTGACTCCACCGTTGGACGTGCGATCTAGCTGCAGCTTCTCCTCAACTGGAGCTTCCCTTTCTGCCACCGCTTCCGCTTCTCTTTCCAGGTGGTAATTGTAGGCCCCTCCTAACAACTTGATCAATCTGCCACTGGTGGTTTGGCTATACACTTGTGGGTTGACATTCCCGCTGACGTATATGCACGTCTTGTTTGCTTCATTTATCTGGTCCACGTCGACGTGGAAAGGCAGCACGTAGTCGAAGTGCCGGCTGTCAATTTGTTCGCCCATCTTGGGGGGAGGACAGGGCAGGAATAGAAAAGAAAAAAACAAAAAAAAAAAAGGAAAAGAAGTGCAGAGAGAAGAAAAGCAAACCAAAGCAACGCAACCCCAAACGTTCTTACTATATATGCTTCCTATGTATGCATTTTTACACGCGTGATCTGTGGTGGGAAGATAAAGGCGGAGGGCCCGCTCACTCGCATTAACAGCTCTGATGAAGTCGCCGCTGTTCCTCACTGAGCGCACACCAGCTGATGATATGACCTTGTGGGGGATTCATACACCACGGGTTGAATCTATTGGGGGAAAAGTTAAAAAGGGAATAGGGTCTCCATTGTTTTTTTTTTTTTTACTGTCAACTTATGATTTTGCCTCTAAGGAGATTTTATCAGTTTGTGATTTCTATTGTGGTGTCTTAGGTGGGCTGTGCCGTGTTCCGTAGTGAAGCGTCCGGATGGAAGAGAGTATTTTATGTAAATTCCATGTTTCTACGTGTCTCATAGGACAGTCCCCTCTAATTTAATAGGTGCAAGGGAATACAGAATCCAATATGCCATGTTTATCATTAAGTGAAACAAATAGACAGTGATCTTCTTGTACCTGTTGTGTAGGTCCCCAGGTTGTTATGTATAACGAGTATTTAAGAGGACAAATAACGGGACTACTGTCAGGAAGCCTCTGGGAGGATTATTACAAATAGTGGATCTCGCATTCCGCATTTGAACATTCTTTCCTCTCTATATCTTATGGAAAATTTATCCACCACGACATTGAACACGAAGGGGGCATACAGACGTAGATGAAATATTTCCCGGCCTCCAGATATGTTCCTCAGAGGATGAGTCGCAATTGGTGAGTCGCCTTTGACATGTGTTTCGCATTCCAATTGTGCCAAACAATGGGGTTGATTATCTTCCTAATTTGGTGACTATCTCACTTACTTGATGTCCATGTCTCCAGAAGTAGGGGTCGCCTCCTTTTTCTTGGTAGGAGGTCTTCGCATGTTTCTGTACTCTGTATTTATCAAAGTTCTCTCAAAGTCATCTCCTTTTAGGCAATTCGTATGAACACCATTCCAATGTAACATGTATGTATGCATGTTTTGTTTCGCCGCTGAATCTGTTCTGCTGAAGCTACATTATTATCATAGTGCTGACCGGTGCTATGCTATTGATCGCTTGTCTCCTCCTATATGAGGCTTGTAGATCTTTTTGGTTTATCCTCAACGTGTTTTTTCTCTTTTTTGACATCCCCCAAGAAATTCTTTGGGTATCTGCTATGTCTGCGAACGTCTCCATATTTTCTTCGTTCAGAAAATTCCCTGTGTGGCCGGTCATGCACGACCCCACCTCTTGTAAATCCTATTGCTCTTTGCATTCATCCAGAAGCATCATGAAGGGCGATATGAACATTTCCATTTCTACTTCTTCATCTGTAATTACACACAATTCGTGGTTATGCACCTCCTGTCTCTCTTTATGGCAATTTGTTCCTGACGTGTTATTCGTGGTCTGATGTATTACATACTTGGTTGTGTCTTTTCGGTAGAGCCTGATAACTTTATCAGACAGACTATCTGGAGTGTACTGTTTCATATGTATGTGTTCTTTTGAAACCTAATTGTTACATATAATTCCTCGCCTTTGTATGAAAGGAGTATATGCTTCTGCGTTAAACTGCTTTCTCTCGAACATTACATTTTCTTGAACACATTGTTCTTCGGTTTTGCGTCCCTGCTGTAAATTGTCGAATTGATTGTTCTCTTTGAACATATCAAGAGTGTACGAGTATTTAGGTTGCAAACTATGCCACTGATGTTTTTGTAAGTGCAAATCACGAAAGTTGTGTGCACCCATTCCGGTTAGGTTGCTCCGTCAGATAATTTCACATATAACACCTTCATTTATGATAAATGTTTGCACGACAATTTGGAGGGAATGTTGTTTGGTCAATTTGCATTCTTCTTTTTTGATTCATCTAAAAAGTCCGTAGCTAGATCTAGAATCTGTTGGGGATCATGTTTTTTTTTATCTTGCATGTATACAGTTTTTGGGATGTGTTAATTACATATTAACTATTTATATTCAGGGTCGAACAGTGGTACGTCGTCACTATCATATCATATATCCCTCTTCTTTTCGCAGTTATGGCTACACATTGTTGTCTGTATGTGTACCCTTCCTCCGGCTTTGCGCTTCCTGTGTTTCAGGGGAAACTGCGATTCTAAGGGCGTTTATTGCTCTAGGGGACAGATTTGGCACGAGGAGTTGGTTCCGGTTCCACGGCGTGTTCTAAATAGTGACAACAGTGCAGTAAATGATATTTTTTGCGTGTGTATATATATACATATATCTATACTTCCATAAGAAAGGTAACCTCTGTAATGGGCCCCCCCAAGTATTAAGATAATAAATAACACCTCAATAAAGGCAATGGCATCATTATATAGTGTTTGTGGGGCTACCCCGCGTGTGGGCTGTCGTTAGGATTGCTAGTTCCCTGTCCCAAAAGTCGTAAGCATAAGGACAGAGGCGGGAGCATCCGTAGCACTTAAGAATATTGTGTAGTCCCCACATTGCCAAATCCTTGTGTGGTGGATTGTGACAGATTTCCATAAACTGATAGGTAAAGCAGAGAGGCTGGTGGATAAAATAGACTGAACCTACTAGGAAAAGGAAGAGGAGGGCGATACCCGTTGGGTAATATCCGCGGCTGGGGGATCCGATGCGGGACACCTTCAATCTGTACGTACAATATCATCAAATTGAATAGTTCGGACCGTAGGTACACATTCCCAATTTTTTCTTATTTTACATTTATATTTTCCGTGTGTATACCCGGTGTCATTGCTTTCAACCTTACAACACTGAGAACTGCAGTAGAAGTTGATATCGATGCATTCCTACCTGCCGCGGAATTTGATTCCTGACGGAGCTACCACGTTTCAGATGTGCACTTAAATATTTCAGAATCCTCACCGGTGCTCTAACAATTTTTCCATGGGTGACGTCCTCTCATTTTGGCTGGCAAGATTTTACGGAAGTTTTGAATAATAACCTAGGCGTTGAAAGATATTGTCAGACGGAGTAACTGCTGTAAAGTTCCGTTCGGATGAAGATGTATCAATAGTTGCTGTTCGTATAAGATTTTCATTCGGAACAAGGGTATTTAGCATATGCAGGCAATGTGTTCCTTTGTGCCAACGTAATGAAAGTCGCAAGAAGAATCCTTTTCATTAAGGAGTCAAGTACGAAGAACGTGTGCACACGCCAGTTCGCACAGTATGCAGAACACTTCTACCGTTCCCATTAGACCTTTCCTTATTGTTTCGTATAAATAGTCAGGATTCAAAGAACAACCAGAACATGTAGTGATGGTGAAATAAGTGGTCAAACAACTCTACATATTTACATAACACATGTTTCTTGGGTGTTCTTGAGGGGTGAAAGTTGTGATAGGACATTTATGAAATAGTGTGTGAAATCACCTAGCATATTGTTTGAATGAACACGTTCGATGTGTGTGTCATTATCGTGGTACTGCCCTTTATTATTATTATTCAAAATGGTAGGAAATCTGTTTTTATATATCTCGCAAGGAAATCCCGGTGTCGAATGCGACCACTCATAATATAGGTTAAAGGTGAATATTCTGAACTAGTAATTTTCCCTATATTACATTGTTTATTGTATTGACCTGTTTGTTTTACATGCTATTGCCATCCCTGAAATCTTCCGGGATAGTGTCTGCTTCTTCTGAACGATGATGTAATAAATACACATTGTCTTATGAAGCAAAAATATTCAGACACTGCAGAGATGTCCTGAAGGAGTAGGTGGAATAATGCTGTCGTTATGTATATTATATGTTTTATGCAAAAAAATTCTTTTTCGAAAGAATTTGCACTTTAGTTCGCTACCTTGTTAGATTTGGAAAAAAACCTGTCCTTTCAATAAAATAATAACAATCGAATTAGGAGCATACGTATCTTTTATAAACCCGTGTTATATTAATAAAGTGTGGGGAGGAGGCTGTCATGCCGATTAAAGTCAGTCCCCTGATCATAAAATACGGCTTAGCCTTATAGTTACTTCTCTATAAAAGGATACCTTAAAATTGGAAAGGATCTGCCAAAAAGGAACGGAGAAGAAAGGATTGTACTATTATACAGTGCGTGCCATGTCAGGATACGCCATGTGGTAAGAGTCTGGGGCTTCAGACATGACATATGCATTTATCGGAAAGTGTAACATATAATCTTAATTTGCAAAGAGGCGCAAGATGATATATATGTACCGCATATAAGGCGGCTTCATAGCCCTGGGTTAACCATCTTTTCTTCGGATAAAAGAGGATATCTAGAAATTCCCTATCCCTTCCTGTTTCTGGGGTTCAGTTCCTTCTGATTAATTACTTTCCGCTTCTTGTTGATGGTGAATTAATTGAAGGATTTCTAAGAACTATTCTTGCGCGCTAGAATAGTAAACACACGTGTATTTATCCTTTGTTAATAATGCGAAACAGGAGGCCTCCGTGCCCGAGGAAGAAAAAGAATTGGAACAAATTAAGTATAGCAAATATCATGTCGTGTCATTGGACTGTATAGAAGGCGTATATTCTGGGATTTAATTTCGTTCGAAAAGTGACTCCTCATTGGAAGCTTATGTGTGCTTCGTTATTTATGAACGGATCCTTTGCAATGCTTAGATATTATGAGGTAAGGAAAGGTACCCTCTTGGCACGGTGTCTTGAACTATGTCATTCACACCAAATATACCCATCTAGTTTATATGATAGTACATGTAACACCACAATTAAAAATGCTGTCCAAGATAAATTCATTCTTATATATAATTTTTGAGAAATCATTTTACGAGATTCAGCCAAAGAAAAAGTGACTGCGTAATTCCTATATTTCATACAACATGACAACATCATGGTAAAAGAAACCGTAGAATCAATGAAGCATACAAACATGTCATGCTGCGGAAAAAAAAGGTTTCCTCCATTTCAATCTTTTTAAAAATTTTCTTAGAGTATCGCGTAATGAAACATGCAGGAGAAGCAGGAAAGACATGAACGCTTTATGGTGTTCCTTAATTTGCTTACAATGATGTATATGTTACGGTTGCTCTATGTACACCTAATAGTAAGGTTCATCACAACGGAGGGATCACACGAGAGAAATACGTGCAGATCTAGTCTCTACGGCATACAGAGTAATATGGGTGAGTCCCCCACTATGTTGTCCGAATCCTCTGGAAGAATCATTTTTTATTATTCTTCACTATCTCATTACGTAAGTGGATCTATATTTCTGGATATTTAGGAAGAATAAAAGGGCAGTAATGCGTTGCATTATAAAGTTCTCACTTCGTAGGGGCCGCGGTAACATTATTTGCTTTACGGTGTAATTAATCTTATGTAACTTGTATTATATTGGAATGTTGAGCTGAAAGTTCATATTCTTCTGATGCGCAATGCAATTAGTTGGATACTGGCGGGTCCAAATTACACCAATTCTGTTATTGTATAACGTGTAGGCTGTACCATAACAACGAGAGTATATTTACGGAGATATCAATTCTAGCATAGTGAATGTGGATAGAATCTGTAGCCGCGACAATTTTAAACAAACTACAGAGTTCCAATTGGGTGGGGATAATGTAAAAAAAATTAAGGTTGGAGAACGTTCCGTCTGTTATTATAAGCGAAGTGATAATTTTTCCTTGCGATGCCATTTATGTATGGCCGCTGATTGGTATAAATACCAGGAATCATTTTTTTGTTTTGTTTTTTCCTTGTCCGTTCTCCCTTACAGTAAGATGGGTTTCTGATGTAATTTGCAAAAAAGAAATGGCTCAGGAAATATGAACAGGTCTAAATGTGTTTATAGAGGACATCTGTCAGTAGGCGTATATGGATTCTGAACATTGAGGTAAATACTGACCAAAACACCATTGCAAATTCCTTAAGGCAAACATGCAAGTTGCTGTTAACATCACGTAATTCTATCACCAAGCATGGGTGACAAGAGAAATGTGTCTTAAACAGTTGGACAGTAGGACTACGTTAAAACTAGGACAGGAATTGTATGGTCTGATTGGGAAAGGATAATAAAACCGCCTTTCAGACGTTAAATATTATGATCTTTACATGACAACACGCGAGCAGTACTCCGTGCCTCATGAGGGAGTACACACATTCGGTTGCCCCATATTGATGGAATCAACTTTGAGATTGAAACAATGCCGACATGTGCATATTTATTTATTCTAATAGGAGCGAATTGTTCCAAAGTGCACAGCGGAAATCTGTGTGGAGGCAATCATATAACATGTGTTCTCCCATGTTGTACAGAAGTAATGAATATTAATAGTAATTGGTCTGGGGGGGTTACGTTAATAATAAATGGTTCCCCCCCTCTGAAGACGCCTTGGATAGCGTCTTATAAGAATGAGAAGAATTTTAATTATTTATAAGAATCTGATGGAAGCAAGTTTTAATATGGCATCCACTGTTTATACGTCTGTCTAATTTGAGAGCAGTGACCTATATTTAATTATACAGCGAAGATGAGCACTTCATATAATGCATTATGAATAGGACTAAACTGAGGATAATAAAAAAAGGAGGGAAGTAGGCAAAGATATGAAAACATGGATTCTATGCAAGCTGTAGCATCAGTGTAAAATTACATATTTAAAATGTCTCCTCTTCGTATTCATGATGGAAATCGTTTCTGTTTGTTGCTTCTTATCTATGGTCACATTTTACGCATAAGGAAAGAAGAAAACAGATAAAAGGCAATGCAGGAGCTAGGGCGGATCATATACAGAGAACAATATTGTGACATATGTCCCTTGCAGACGCGTTCCGCTTGAAACCTCCATTTATGTCTTATTGTACAAAAGAGGAGCATTTTCTTATAAGTAAGATTTTAGGTTTATTGAAGAGCATTACTTTTTTCGCGATCACCTTCGTGTGTAGCGCAACCCTTATGAGAAACCTTAGAGATTAGTAAATGTGGGGGCGCAAATATATATGACTGCATATTTTAGTAATTTTCTCCTGACTTTTACAATGGTACATGTACCTATATATACTTATGTATACATATATATATATATGTCTGTGTAGTAATATTATCTTGATACGTGCTATAACCCTAATATATTGCTTCTAAACAGTTATGAGGACACACGCCCCACACGTCGGTGTACCGGAATGGATATTGCACATTGTAATAACCCAGACATTAAAATATAATAGTGATTTTATACACATGATGAATTTTGCAAGAAAGTTGTTTTCAGAGGTGTGCGCGTATTTTCTGTGATTTCCTTTTTTTTTTTTTTTTTTCCGACACATTTTGCAATACTCGACATGTCCTTCATTGGTGTGTACTGATTGCCGCATGAAACTATAGTGGCCGACTAAAGGGCGAGGTAAGAAGCAATATTTTCTCAAAATACAGAATTAGCTGCAATTAGACACAAACTGTAAAGGATATTTCTCCTAAGTATTCAATGAATAATTAACTCCAGAAGTTTATAATTATTTATTTTGATAGCACAGCACGCATGCATGTGAATCTGATATCCTTTTAGAGGATATACCCTTCCGGATATAGAGTTATAAGATCAACTGAGAAGCTTATCATGGTGTTAATAGAACTGTTAAATCTGTCACTATATCAGTTTAATATTAAATAAAGAGGAAATCAATTTCGAATAAGGAGATTCACTAAATGGGGAAAAGTATGCAGGTGAATAGCAAGAGTTAGCATCATTCACCGAACAGTAGACTGTGGGAAGGACAAAATATTGCAATGACTATATTTTAGAGTTCCTCTTCTCCCGTTACGGGAGTCGCCGACTACTACAAATGTGCTAACACGGTCTGATTAATTCGGTTGAGGGGATTACTTATTATGGGCAAAATTTAACAAGGAAAAAAACAGAAAAATACCAGTATTACATCCGTATGTAAAGCAACGGAGCATACAGTGCAGTCCAAGTATATCAATGAGAAGCAAACCAAAATCGATAGGCCATGACAAGAATCATGATGCACCAATTCATTCTGATTACCCCTAGATATATATAATACAGGAACAAAAGAAGATAGTGAAGGAATTGTCGGAGTGGTTATAATATATTACAACGGATACATCATAAATATTAAGAGAAAATTCCAGTATTGGATGATGAAAGAAAACTGAGAATAAAAGATGTGTCTCAGTATAACCGGGTTTCCCATTCTGCATATGATGAATTGTAGTAAACTAAAAAAGGAATATACGGGATTTCTCATTTGGAAGTGTTAAGCGAATTAACATTATGGGTCTGAACTGAGGATGCATCAATTACGAGAGGCATAAGGAGTATATTGACCAAAGAGATACAGGTAATTTACATGCCTCTATACGTCGCTATCATTTATCGATAACATCCTATTTGTCTTTGAGCTCCCTAGATGTGACCATGGAACATATATATACCCATGGATATACATACATATATGTATATCTTTCCCCTTCTATATACTGGATGAGTTCAACTGTGATAAAAATAAGAAGTTTTAACCTCGTGAAGTATGATAACAATCTGACGTCATAGAAAAGGAATAATACCCAGACAGAGAAGAAGAAAGGGACAGAATGATACCAGTGGTACATATTTTTACCCGGAAAAAAAATATATTTAGCAGCATATGCAGATTCAGATTAAAAGATTGTTCATTTGGCATAAGGATGTGCCCCTTATAATTACGTGGTTTTTCATGACGTCTTTTATCTATGCATATATGAAGGGAATAATGGATTGTTGAAATTGAACTGGTAGAATATGAGTTGTAATTTCATATTGAACTTTAATTGTATGTTGCATACGATTAGAAGGGCTGCATTAGCGTATAAATGTGCTTATGCCTTTCTGTGGAAACTCCTATGAGTGCACTGGAATAGAGATATGCAAATTCAATGGGTAAAGCGTGAAATCGTGGGGCGTCGTGTTTATATGGCTTCTTTTATAGTTACGTTATCCCTGTGAATGCGTTCTCAGGGCCCATCCTTTTTGTGAGGGTTTTTTTTGATGTTTCGATATCTTCACGAGTATTCCCGCGCACGACGCATTCTTCCTGAGTATGTTCTGTCATGTTTTCGCATTTTTATAAGTGTATTAATTCATATCGCAACTTCTTTGCATATCAATCCCCATGCTGCCTAGTGCATGTTGATGCGCGCTCGTGCTGTATCATCCCCATTACTGTTTTTTTTCATGTTTTGTGCAACTTTATGAGAGTATTTTTTCATGGCGCCTGTTTTCTATATATCTATCGTGAGGTGGCCTAATTTTGCGAATGTGGTTTCATGTGGCGTAATTCTGCCAACGTGCCTCTAGGTGGCGTAATTTTGCTAACGTGCTTCTACGTCGCGTAATTTTGCCAACGTTGTTGTATGTGCCGTAATTTTGCCAACGTGCTTGTTTGTGCCATAATCTTCCGTCTGCGTTGCTTCATGTGGCGTAATTTTGCCAACGTGCTTCTATGTGGCGTAATTTTGCCAACGTGCTTCTATGTGGCGTAATTTTGCCAACTTGCTTCTATGTGGCGTAATTTTTCGCCGGCGTTGCCTCAGGTGGCCTAATTTTGCCAAAGTGTTTCCATGTGGCGGAATTTTTCGCCGCTGTTGCTTCATGGGGCTTAACCTTGCCAGAGTCCTCTCATGTGGATCAATTCTTGGGGGGTCCCCTGATTCGTTTTATCGGTCGCGCGCCGGCTGTCTGTTTTTTCCTCATTATATATATTTCTCTATCTAATTTTCTCATGGGGATACACCTTTCTGCCGCATTCCTTTCACGAGAATTTCTGGAGGGTTCTTTTATGATGACATCCCTCGCAGCATCCTTATGAAGATACCACTTTTGCTCGCATTTTTATGAAGATGCCTTTACTTGCCGCATTTTTATGACGATTTCTTCTGTGTCGTTTTTTCATGATGCTTTTTTTTTCTACATTTTAATGATACTCTTTGTGCGAGTCATTGTGCTGTTCTCGTCTTACGTCACTTTGATGTGTATTGTTTTGCGGCGGCACTGTGATGCGTACTGCTTGGCCGCGGTAGTATGATGCTTTCTTTCTGTGTGGCATTTTTCTAAGGATGCTTATATCTGGTATGTGACTATAATAATGCTTCTTCGTGTTACATTTCTGAACAGCTACACTGCTCTTGTTGTGTCAATATGAAGATGTTTCTGTGTGTGGCATTTTTTTCAGGATGATATTCCTTGTTCTATTTTTAGGAAGTTCTCTTTTTTTATGGTGCGTCAATGTGAGGTGTATTTTCCCTGTAGGCCATCCATTTCTGCAAGATCCATTTTACCGTGTTGTACTTCTAATATCTTCTTTGGCTCGTCATTCTTATAGGGACGGCTTGTTTCGCCGTGCTACTATTAAGATTCCTGTCTGTGTTTCATTTCTCTCCTGACGATAGTTTCTTCTTCGGGTGCCTTGTTGAGGTTTCCTGTTCCATGTCATTATAAGAATTCCTGCTGGTGGGGCATCTTCGTTACGAAGAATCTTCTTACCGCGCTATATTCATGATATTCCTCTGTTTCGGTGCTTTTTAAAGATGCCTCTTCCTTCTTGTATGCTACCGCGAAGATATTTTGGCGAGGCCCTCTTTTTATGAAGATATTTCTCTTCCGCGGCATACTCATGATTCTATTTTTCGGCGGCAGTCTCAATATATTGTTTTGTGTCATTTGTTTTATATGGATGCTTCTTTCTCCCGCGGCATCTTGAACATGTCTTTTTGTGTGTTATTCTTTCTACGATGATTTACCCTTTTTCGCGGCCTCCTGAAGATGTCCTCTCGTGTGCCATTTTCTCTATGAAGATGCCCTTTTTTTGCGGCATGGTTAAGCTGAGGTCCTGTTTCTTATTTTTTTTATGAGGATTCTTTCTTCTGCTGGTATCTTCAAGATTTTCTCTTATGCCGTCATTTTGAACATGTTTCTTTGCCCCGATCATTCTGAAAAGGTTTCTTTTTGCCGCATCATCGTGAAGATGCCCTTCTGGCTGTATCCTTGTGGATATGTTGTATTTATTATATGTTATTCTTCTTTATCACACTCCTTTGGTTCCTAATATCTTCAGCAGCGTGCTTATTTTTTTTCTATGTGGCTGCATTATGAAGATTTGTCTCCTCTCTTTGCCTATTATGAGAATGGCCACCTATTTGAAGTGTAAATATCATGACTATACAGATGCAGTAGTATTACCAAACAGGAATAATATACCGATGTGTAAAAGAGCACCTTTATCCCTGGTGTATTATTGCTTTAGAAGTGATAATTTCCATCGGGTACTATTAGGTAAATAGCGATTTTACCTGGATAACATTGTTAATTGGACAAGAGACTTGGGTCAGGGGTAAGGATTTTCCTGGAGTGTTATTGTATGAAGCCTATTGAAATATCTGTAACACTCATACGTGCAAAGTACTGACATGCTTATGGTTTTCTTACATGAGATGCACCTAACCGCCTGGGGTACTCTTTTTCGCAAAATACTGGTGTACTTTTCTAACGCTAATGCAACGCCCGGATTTAGGTGTAATACTGTTATGTGAAGTGCATGGATATTCCAGAATTTTTCCCTAAACACTATTTACGTGTTTGGATTCTCAATGGTGAGGAATCCCAAAATTGCCATTGTATTGTTATGTAAATGCTGTATTAGTTCATCTATGTTCATCACCTCCAGTGTTATCATACTACGGGCCACGATTATGTGCTGTGGGATGTCCCATATTGAATATTATTATATTCGAATTAGTTTGTTATGGAAAAGTATGTCTCTTCGAGCAGTACCGTGATGTTAATGATATTGTTGTGTTGATAAAGCCTCTATTTGAATAGCACTGTCTCTTAGGGAGTATTCAGGATTGGCAGTGGAAATGTGAGACAACTACAAACGGATGTATAGTACTCATATCTGGAGACACGTGACATGCTTGGTACAGTGCTATATGGATAGTGGCGAAGTCGAGACAGTCGTATTAAGTGATGTATTCGGGTGATAGGATGTATGTAGCTTAACCTTCTACTATCCACGGACAGATGGAATGAAAGGTGCACAGGCTCCAGTACTATTTGTATGTGAAGAATATCTCTTCGTCGAGGGTTTTAATGTGTGAAGTGCACTGTTAATTGGAGAGGACTACTGTTATGTGGGAAGCAGTGTACACTGAGGAATAAACTTATCCTTGGATTATCAGGATGTCAAGTGTCTTGGTGTAAGTCTAATGACTTCATTACATCACATGCGGGATTGGGGAGCTCCTAGGGCCCATGTGTAATACTATTACTTAAAGAGTATTGCTACTCCAGGAGTATGATTATGTTAGGAGTACCTTTTTGTCTCCGCTATTGATTTTCCAGAAATGGTATTGTGCTACGGATAGCATTAAATGTGCCCCTATGTAGCTTCATTAGTGGGACTATATCTATGGTACTATTTGTTGGAAAGTATGCGTGTTTAAAGAAAACCATTATGTTAACAATAATATTGTTTAGATAATAGCTTCATTTGAAATGCACAGCTGTATGGAAAATATGGATGATTGGAAGGATCATTCTCTGAAGAGTATATAGGTATATGCCGTACTCATATCTGCATAGTGTTAAGATTCCTGGTACGTTACTATTCGAAGAGTGGCAAACTTACGACCGTACTGTGAAGTAATGTATGTTAAAGTCGATAAGATATATGGCATAATGTTCTATTCTATGCAGAGAGATCCACGATAGAGTGTACCAGCGTTTCCGTAATAGTCTTATATGAAGCCTACTATGGTGTAAACCGCATAGATCTCTTCAGTGCTCCATCTTTTGAAGATTATTACCGTTATGTACCGAATGTTGTTACTAAATGAGAATGCCTATCTCTGAAGTGCCATTATGTAAAGGGTGTTTATTTAACTTTAATGGTCCAATTATATGAACTACAGGACTGTACAACCCCTAAGAAATGTCGGCAACACCATTATTTCGATGGTATTATGGTGCGAGGACTACTATAATGTGCACCTTAGTTTTGTGTGTGAAATATTGATATTTCACGAGTGTCATTATTTGGAGAACACTATTCCGTGGAGTGTATGGATATTGAAGAAGGATTCACGCGTGTGCAGTACGGATGTGTATGGATTCTGAATGGTGATGATTACAGAAGTTGTCGTAGTGCTGTTATATGAATATACTAATGGTTGAGCTGTGATAATATTTGTTGTGCATTGTTTTCTGAATAGACTACCTCCGTAGGCAGTAAGAATAATCTGGAGCAGTAATTTGTCAGTATACTCATATTTGCGTCGTACTGTCCTTTAGGAAACACATTGGTGCACAGGTTATAGATGTGCCTGAAGCACAACTATCTGGAGGGTAAAAATTTCGAAGCCCAGGATTTTGACTTATATTATACGCACAAAACTACTGTGTGGAACCTGTAGCAGTCCCTGAAGTATTATTATATGAAGAATGGTGCATTACGTCATGCTTCATGACTTTACCAGCACCACTCTACCAAGTGTAAAGATATCCTTAGATTACGGTTGTGTGAAAATAACTTTTTAACTTCAAGTGCTGATATTCCCAGAATACTATCATATGAATAGTCCGCCTGTGTTCAAAGTATTGATATGGAAGAAATAGCATCGTGGGGATGAGTACAACTGTGCCGGGAGTACTATGATTTAAATAGTACTAACATGCAAAAGCTAACATTATTTCTCCTTTCTATGTGTGTTTCAAGAATACTATTATATGAATGAAATCATTGGATGAAGTTCACAGATATACGTGCTGTAATCTTATATAAAAGGTACAACTGTGTAAGTTGCTGCAACATGTCGCAAGTGTCCATGATTGTGAAATATAAGGGTGTACAAGCCGTAGTATTATATTGGCGTTCAGGGATTATACAAGTACAATACAGACAGCTAAATCCTTTGAACCAAGGACACCGCCCGGAATAGATTTATTTAAGAAGGAGCAATATACCAGTGGTGATTCCATGTGAGGGGCGTGAATATATGGAGAGTGCCATTCTGTGGACTCCCCGAACATTCTGAATGCAGTGCTATGTGAAATGTGAGGATGTTCTGGGAAACTCTTATCTGAAAAATTCCCTTGTGACTGCAGTGCTATTATTCAAGGAGCACATATGCGTAAGAGATATGGATATCTTCCAGTGTTACTGTATATGAGAGGTACGGTGTTGTCCGTAATACTCATATCTGGAAAGTACTGAAACCATTATTGTATTTGTATTTGAAGAGAACAAGTGCACTTGGAGTACCATTATTTGTACAATACTGGTGTGGATTTCCATTCCCAGTAATGTGCGCGGATATAAGTCTACTACTATTATGTGACGAGTATAGTGGTGCATGTACTAGTGTATGTGAAGAATTCAGGGTTTATGCTTTTATTATATGAATAACAGTGTCCTGTGAAGTCCATGGATATTCCAGTATAACTATTGTTTAGGGAGTACCATTGTCTCTACTTTCTCAATGGTGACGGGTATAGAAGTCCTCATACTACTGTTCTATAAAGGTACAAGTAGTGGATCTATATGGATCACATGGATTGCTACTAAACTAACGGAACCATGAAGTGTGGAGTTTCATACCTTTATGAGTAAGATAACCTTTGGAGTACGATTTTTTGGGAGAGTAATGGGGTGAGAGGAGTATCATCCTGTTTACAGTATTGTTGTATGGATAATACTTCCATTTGAACAGGATATTTGCTGATGGAGTATTCATGACTTGGAGTACTCTTATGGAAACAATACAGATGTATGTATAGTACTCATATCTAAAGATGCCTGATATGGCTGGTACGACGACATTTGATGAGGGGCAAAGTTAAGCCGGTATTATTAAGTAGAGTAAAGAGAGGTGCAGAATTTATGACTTAGCTCTGTGCCGTATGAGGACGGCCAACCGTTACGCAACGTGTGGAAGTTCCCATAGTACCTCCGTATGGGGTGTACAGTTGTGTGGGACACAAGGATGTGTGAATTGCACGATTACTTGAAGAAAACTGATGTTATGTATAGAGTAGTTTATCCTGATTAGTACAGTTGTCCTTGTAATGGCATTATTTCAGGAGTCTTTATATTCTTTCGATGGCTGTATGATATCAATTGCGAGGTTCCCTAGATCCCAAGGGTTTCCTTGGATCATATTATATACATAATAGAACTATGCCAGAACTAATGTAATGTTAAAAGTATTATTGTTTGAAGAATACTGAATCTTGAGGAGTGTCATTATTCATAGGCCAATATTCTATAAATTACATAGATATTCCAAGAGAAAAGATGCCAACAGAGTACTAATGTGTCCGGGTTTCCAATGCTAAGGATTGCGGAAACTCCTGTAGTACTGTTATATGAATGTATTAATGATTGAGCTATGGTGATATCTGCAGAGTATCCTTCTCTTAAGAGCATGGTTGTATAAGGAGTACCGATAATCTGGGGTGCTGTCTTGTGAGAATATTGGTATTTGCCTAATAGGTCGTCTTGAAATGCACAAATGTGTTGAGAGTGTACATATCCCCACAGTACGATTATTGAGAAGGTTGAAACTTCATGGCTTACCGTTTACGCTTATATTATAGAGAAAACACTATAGTTCCAAATTCATACCACTCCCCGGAGTTTCATTATATTAATACCTGTATAATGTGTGAAAGGGCATGATTGAGAGAGTACCCTTGGCGGAAGTGTACACATGTGCGTGAAGGAGTATTGTCTAAGAATTACTTATTCGCTTCGAATGTTTACCTTCCCAGAGTACTATTATGTGAAAAATGCCAATGTTTGCGGAGTAATGATATATTAGGGATTACGTTGTGAGGTGAATACTACTGTACCGGGAGTACTATTATTTAAAGTGTATGAACATGCATGCCGCATCGTTATCCTTATCTGTCGTCCCTGGCAAGGATGGTAATGTATAAATGACACCATTGTAAGAAGTAGACGAATATACTTGGTGTATTATTAGAGGAAAGGTATGATGATATAAACTGTAAACCTGTGTCTAAAATGTCAATACCAATAAAGAAAACAGATGTATCAGA